TCGATGTGATTCTATTTTGGGTTGTTAATAAAACACTAATTGGTTGTGAAGGAATAATGATTAGGGAGTGATTAGATTAAAAATATATTTTCTATCCACAATTTTTTTTTTTTTTTTTACAATTCACAACTACTATTTTCTTCTTATATACGCGTTCTATAGAACCTACAATTTATAATAACTTAGGGTGCGGTCGGTTTACCATTTTCAAGCATTTTCAATTTATTTTTTGCAAAACATTGAAAATCTGTTTTGTCCGATATTTCTAAAAATGCATTTTCGAAAAACAATGATAAACTTATAATATAAAACTTAAAACATATTTTAGACGTTTTGAGTGCTTTTATTGAAAATTGTGAAAACACTCAAAAAAATAGTCTAAATAAAACTTCATTTCAATAAAATTTTAAAAAAGAACAATATATAATTCTAACAAATAAAATTCAAGAAAAATATATTCAAAAAATAAAATTGATGAATTCTAAAAATTTCTAGAAAGCAAAAATATTTGAAACTATATTATTTTCCTAAAAATTCTAAAAACATTATTTAAACAAACATAGATAAATAATTTTCAATTAACGTCATTAATTTTTATTTTTATTTCGTTTATTTTGAACTCAATTTATTATTTATTTTTATTTTACCTTTTTAGTGAATTATTTGGTTAGATTCACCAACTTCATAACGTATACATTACTTGATGATATATTATTTGTTTTATTTTTACCCAATAATTAAATTTTTTAATTGAATAAAATGTCGTACAATAATTTTTCAACAATTCAAACAAAACATTTTTTTTTTAGTTTTCTATTTTGACAATTAATATTTCAAAATGACAAACCAAAATGCATTTTTAAAAAATTTTAAAATAGACTCTCAAAACAGATTACTGAAGATGAACTCAAAATTGAAAATGGAATACAAATCAAATAGGCCCTTATTAATTTAATTTATTTACTTCCAAAAATATGACGAGAATATATAAAAATGACGTGGTTTTATGGTATTCAAATGAATTTTTTTAATAAAAACAATGAGCATTTTTAGCCCCATTTTTTTTCCCTTAAAAATGCATTTTGGAATAATAGATCGATGAAAAATGTGTGGTTGAATAATAATGAAAAGTTTTGAGTTTGAGTGTAGTATTATTTTGTTCAAGAATGCGCAGTTGAAAAGAAAGATAAAAATGTATATTGAAAATATTGAGTTCCGATTGGTTCCCATTATCCCGAAAATTTATTATTATCTGTTTTATTTTTAACCACACAATCTTCAATAAAATAATATTACAAGCAAATCGAACATTTTTCTTCTTTTTCAACCACACATTCTAAAAAAAAAAACACAATTTTAAAAATTATAATTTCAAATAATGGGGGCCAAACGGAGGCTGAGGATCAAACGAGAGCAATATTGGAATCCGAAGTTGATGAAAATAGTATTTTTAAAAAAAATTTAGTCTCTATTTGACAATCATTAAAACAAAACTTATCTTCAACCGCACATATTCGCAGGAAATTATTCTACAAATAAACAAAAAATATTTTTTACTTTTTAACTATATATTCTTCAAAAAATAACCATTCAAAAACTCATTTTCCAATTTTAATGGTTGTCGTGCAGTGCTCAATAAGGATAAATACGAAGTGAGAAAGACATATAACAATAGTGGTTATAAATGAAAAAGCTATGTGTACATGAATTTTTACAAAATGTCACATGGTAAAATTTCATTGGATTTTGGAAAAAAAATATAATTAAAACAATCAATCACGCATTGCCAATATATTATGAAGATATGATGATTTTCCATTTTCTTGCTGGAGAAGGTTGTGCAGATAAACCACTTGTCAAAATTGATATGGTTGTACATAATTTTTTTGAATTTACGTGTAATATTATTTGATTGAAAATGCGAAAGAGAAAAATATATTTTAGCCGGCGCTTGGTAACCATTTTCATCCAAATTGTAGAAAAATTATAGACGTTATACAGTTCAATTGCAGACACAGGATATGCAGTACAAGTGGCAGGGAGGGAGACAGACTTTTTTGACCCAACAAGGACTAAAATGACCAACGAACCCTCATTCAAAATGCATTATTAACTACAGTAAGGGCAGTTCGGTAAATTGGAATTCCTGCAGTCAGTGCATAATCATAGGTCCCACTGATTTGACAGGAAAAATGTATTTTTATGGTAAAAATGGTTACCAAACACAGGCTTAAAAATAAGGGTTGTGCTATTTGTACATTATGGCATCCATAATGGATGACATAATGTACAAGTGACAATACATTATTGGAGGGTGTGCTGGCCCACCGACACACCCTCCAATAATGTACTGCTATTTGTACATTATGACATCCATTATGGATGACATAATGTACAAGTAGCACAACCCATGATCCTACCCACCAAGGATAGGGAATCATTTCCTTGTAAGTAAAATAATCATGCAACCAAACATGTACTTAACACATAAAAAAGAAAAAAGAAAAAAAAAAGATCAAGTGAAGAACAAAATAACACCTACATAACTATTCCATTTCAATTAAAAAACGAAAAATGAAATTAATTTACACAGCCACCTTGATGGTGGCGCTACCGCCGGAGACTCGAAAGCGGCATAAAGGACAAGAATCATGGCGAGAGAGCCACCTTGTGATACAAACTGCATGGAACACGTGTCCACACGGGACTTGCTTACCTGATCGGTATCCCTCCAAACAAACTGCACAGGAACCTATCACAGTAACCGTAGGCAACTCAATCTGGTGGGCAGCCATGGGTTCTAAAGACTGGTTTATGCCCGAGTCCGATCCGTAATCTACCATTGTTAAGGCTAGATCAAGGTCAAAGGCTTCATTTATAGGAATCTGCGACATAACTAATGCAAATAGCAAATTTTAGAAATTATGAAAAACTGGATTCAAATTGGGGAAGAATGATTGAAGGATCCATATTTATTGGGTAGAGTGGCGGTGGGTCGGGGCAAGTTGCAAACATCGAAGTCAAAACT